TAGGGTTTAGGGTTTAGGGTTTAGGCTAGTCCTCCCAAAGCTCACGCCTGAAACCCTAAACCGAAAACCCTAACCCCTCAAGTGCTTAAGCCGTGAAAACCCCAAGCTCGAAAGCCCTGTGCTTGGAGATTCTTTTTCTGGATACTTATGGCCCTAAGCCCTAAGCCCTAAGCTCTAAGCCCTAAGCCCTAGACCCTAGACCCTAAACCCTAAACCCTAAACCCTAAACCCTAAACCCTAGACCCTAAACCCTAAACCCTAAACCCTACCCCCCCCAAACAACCCCCCAAGAGCCGAACTCCCCAGGTCCCCACCAGCAACGCCGGGCTGCCGGAGCCAGGATGGGAGCTGAGTTCCTACGTAGGATAAGGGTTTAGGGTTTAGGGTTTAGGGTCTAGGGTTTAGGGTTTAGGGTTTAGGGGCCCTCTTCTAACTCTTTTGGACCTTATGGGAGGGTCTATAGGCCCAAGGGTCCCCATAATTTCCCCAAGCCCGAAGCCCCAACTTGAAGAGGATTCAGGGACTTAGGGGTTTAAGGGTTAGGGACTTGGGGTTTAGGGTTGAGGGATTTAGGGTTTAGGGTTTAGGCTATCGATTTCGGCTCAGAGTTGCGGTGTCTTGGCTTCAGGCGAAACCCGAGACACTAAGCCCTATGCCCTGAACCCTACGGGGGCTGCAGGCTTGCGAAGCACCGTCGGGTTTTGGGTTCAGGGTTTAGGGTGTTTAGGCCGGGTGAAGGGTGTAGGCTTTTTTTTTCCGCCCAAACCCCAAGGAACGACACAGGAGGGTTTAGGGCTTTCTTCAATAAACATTCCAACTCTCGTCCTGAACAGTCAACCCTAAACCACAAACCCTAAGCCCTAAACCCTAAACCCTAAACCCCAGACTGGCCCTGACCCTGAACCCGGCATCACTAAAGCTTCGCAGACGGCCACTTGCGTTAACGTCCCTACAAACCCCTATAAACCCATAAACCCCTACAAACCCCTAATAACCCCTGTAAACCCCTTTAAACCCCGATAGACCCCTATAGACCCCTGTAAACCTACAAGACCCCAAACCCAAACACCCTTAATGTCTGACGCACAGACGAGAAACCGACGTCCGCCATGTTGACGAAGAAAAGATTGTGAAAAGCGCACGTGTGCTCGTAGGGCTTCGGGTTTAGGGTTTAGGCCCTAAAGGTAACGTCGTCGATTGATGCCCCGAGGGTTTTGTCGCATGTTTTTTCGTGGTCTCACGGGTGCCGAACTTTGTTTTCGTGCGGACATCGACACGCGCGAAGTACAATTTCCGAAGTGCTTGCTTTTCGGACACGTTTTGGGCGAAAGCACTCCGCATGACGGCCAATTCGAGCGCGCCAGCTGCCCTAAACCCTAAACCCTAAACCCTAAACCCTAAACCCTAAACGCTCAAATCCCTCAGAGGCCAATCTCTTCTCTCTGCAGAGCTTGAGGCCTTACAGAGCTTTGGGGCAGGGTTTAGGCTTTAGGGTTTAGGGTTTATAGGGTTTAGGGTTTAAGGGTTTAGGCCCCCAAACCCTAAACCCTAAACCCTAAACCCCCTACCCCCAACCGACACCCTGTCGGCCCTGCGGGGGAAGGAAGTCGGATGACCCTGCGCAGCACCAGCGCTGCCTGGAAGCATGTGGCACCGCACCGGCGCGCTTTGAGGGTTGAGGGCTTGAGCCCCAGAGCCCTAAACCCTAAACCCTAAACCCTAAACCCTAAACCCTGCCTAAGCATTCTATAACCCTAAACCCTAAACCTCCCTAGGATGGCAGTGTCCTGGGCGTGGGCTTTGGAGCTTTGGAAGTATGCAGGGTTCTCGGCTTAGTGCGCAGGACACGATGCCCGCCTGCTGGGAGGTTCATGGTACTTATGAACCAAGTTATAACCCTACTTAGGAGGTTTAGGGTTTAGGGTTTAGGGTTTAGGGGGTTCATGGTACATATTAACCAGTAGAAGTAAAGTACTTAGAACGCTCTTCAATTCTTCTTAAGTGCCCTAATCTGGTGATAGGTACAGGTATACGTACAGTTCTAATAGGTTCATAAGTACCATAAACCTCCAAGTGTAGCTGCCCCGTTACCGTACTCGGGCCTATGCAATCGCCCTTTGCAATGCCCTCTATACGGTATTCCCGAAACCCTCAAACCTAAAGCCCCTACACGTAACCCTGAACCCTAAATCCTAAACCCTCTATGACCCTCCATAAACCTAAACCCTAAACCCTCAACCCCAAACCGAAATAAAGGTTTTTCATGAAAACTCAGGGTTTCGGCGTCCCGGGATGTTGCTTAGCCTGGAAGTAAGGTGTATGTAGACTATGATTCTACGCAGATGCATGTGGTATCGGAAGTAGGGCCATAGGGTTTAGGGGAAAGTAAGAACCCCTACACGCTAGACCCTAAACCCTAAACCCTAAACCCTAAACCCTAAGCCCTAAGCCCTAAACCCTAAACCCTAAACCCGAGGACAAGGTCCCCGAGGACGTCGACCGACGCTTGGCGGCCTGGAATGGGCTCCGCCACAGCCGGAAAGAGGCTGAGGAGGGCTGTATTAGGGTTTAGGGTTTAGGGTTTAGGGTTTAGGGTTTAGGGTTTAGGGTTTAGGGTTTAGGGTTTAACCCTAAACCCTAAACCCTAAACCCTAAACCCTAAACCCTAAACCCTAAACCCTAAACCCTAAACCCTAAACCCTAAACCCCGCACCGCGTTGGGTGCCCTAAAGCCCTGAAAACCAAGAACCCAAATCATCGCAAAACCCTAAAGCAAAAATCCCAAAACCTCACTGAGCCCCAATAGGCAATCAGGGATGGCTCTCTCTCCCTGTTTTTTTTTTCTCTCTCTCTCCCTCTCTCTTCCCATCCCTCTCTCTCTCTCTCTCACTTTCCGATGTGACTTGGGAACGTGCCAGCGACAGCTCGGTGCTGTATAAGAGGCGCCGATTTTGTTCTGATGAGGGAACCTTTGAGAGCAAGTGGAGCGCACCCTCAAGCTCTCAATCCATTTCTTAAGTTAACGTGCCTTAACGCAGTGTTGCGCTTGACACACTGAAAACATCTCCAGCCCGTGAAAATCTTTCAAACCCAACCCTTCAATTTCTTGGAGTTGAAGAGGCTCCTCGACTTCTGGAACTTAAGAACTCCGGCATCTCAATGTCTTAACCTAGGCCCCTTTGTTCTAGGTGGGACTTTACTACAACTTCATCACTTTATAGGTTTTGCGGTTCCTCTAATTTCATATCAAGGGAGCTAAAAGTGAAACTTTTATTGGGGGTTTTAAAGAGCAACCAAATGGCTTTGCGCCTTGCTTCGCATGTGAAGGTTCGCGGGTACATGCAAGCAGGGCTAGAAGTACCCTAAATGAGGTTCTAACCCTAGCGACCTTACTTCGAAGCCTGCTTCTAAGCGCCCGAACGAACCTCCAAGCTAACCCTAAACCCTAAACCCTAAACCCTATACCCTATACCCTATACCCTATACCTATGCCCTATAAACCCTAAACCCTAGACCGAATGAGCCTCCAAGCAGTTCCGGGTGTGTGGGCTCTTCGGCTCGTACGGCTTGGCCCGGCCAAACCCTAAACCCTAAACCCTAAACCCTAAACCCTAAACCCTATACCCTATACCCTATAAACCCTAAACCCTAAACCCTAAACCCTATAAACCCTAAACCCTAAACCCTAAACCCTAGCCCTAAACCCTAAACAGCCCTAGACCCTACACCGTCAACAGGCCCAGATCCATCTTCTCTATGAAGATGCCGAGGTGGGCTGGGGCGTGGCCGCATGCTTGCAGATAAGTAGAGCTAAGGTGAGCCTTGATGGTCCTTAAACCGTAAACCCCCCAAAGCCCTAAACCTCCCAACCCCCCTCCCCCCCCCGCCACCAAAAAAAAAAAAAAAGCCTAAAGCCGTAGACCTTAAGCCCCTAAACCCTAAACCCTAAACCCTAAACCCTCAGACCTAAGCCCCAAACCCTACACCCACCCCGAAACCACAAACCCAGGTGAACAAGCCAGCCGGCCTAAACCCTAAATTTAAGAGCCTCCGGCTCAAGCCGCCGACCCCGCTGGAGCATAGTTGAGACCCGCTCGCATGGAAGATCATCCCCGGCAGAGTTCTGTGAATCGTTTGGGGGGGGGGTAGGGGGTAGCACCAGGACAAGCTCAAGCCAAAAAGACGGGTGGGGGTGGGGGGGGGGGGGGGGGGGGGGGGGGGGGGGGGGGGGGGGGGGGGGGGGGGGGGGGGGGGGGGGGGGGGGGGGGGGTTGGGGGGGGGGGGGGGGGGGGGGGGGGGGGGGGGGGGGGGGGGGGGGGGGGGGGGGGGGGGGGGGGGGGGGGGGGGGGGGGGGGGGGTGTGGGGGGGGGGGGGGGGGGGGGGGGGGGGGGGGGGGGGGGGGGGGGGGGGGGGGGGGGGGGGGGGGGGGGGGGGGGGGGGGGGGGGAGGCGGGAAACGCTGATTTTGCTGAGGGCGCCCCTACCCCCCCGTGCTGAACCCCCTGTTTACGCTGTGCGGGTGGCGCGGTCCTCCACGAAAAAATTGTGCACCGACCCCCCCCACCCCCCCCCCCCCCCGCGTTTTGGGGGGGTAAGGAGGGAAAGAGGGAGGTTTCACCTCCTTTTCCCATCCAACACGCCGCCAGGGTCGGCGGACTCCAAACCCTAAACCCTAAAACCCTAAAACCCCCAAACCCTGACTCCTAGGCCTAAATTTAACCCTAAACCCCAAACCCTGAAACCCTAAAACCCTAAAACCTTAAAACCCCAAATTTGACATGACACCCTAAGCCCGAAACCCTCAAACCCTAAAACCCTAAATTTAACCCTAAAACCCGAAACCCCTAAAACCCTAAACCCTAAAACCCTAAAACCCTCAAACCCTAAAACCCTAAAACCCTAAAACCCTAAGACCCTAAAACCCTAAAACCCTAAACCCTAAACCCTAAACCCTAAATTTGAAATGAAACCCAGGTGAACAAGCCAGCCGGCCTTGACTCCATGCCTTGGGACGAGTCCCGCGGCCGGTTTACGTTCCAGGCGCCCGGCGCAGGAGTTTAGGGTTTAGGGTTTAGGTTTTAGGGTTTAGGGTTAGGGTGAGGGTCGGCGATTCCAGGTCGTGGGATGTTCGGGCCGGGGCTGTTTGCCATCTGATTGCGCTTTGGAGCTTCGGATCTGTGAGCCGGGGATTCGTTGTCAGGGTTCGTAGTCTTGGCCCAAGCGTGGGGGACCAAATGAACCCCAAAGGGTTCATAGTTTAACAGCGGAAGCGTCGTAGTACAGGGTATATGACCTCAATTTTATGGTTCATTTGGTCCAGAAGCAAGTGCAGGGTAGGCCTCCTCAAACCCCCGAAGCCCAGTACGTGGAGGTTGATGCTTCTACGCAGGGATATAAGTAGGGTAACTATGGTTAGAACCTTATTTCGCGTGCTTACAACCTACTTATTGCTGTAGTACTTATTAGTACCCGTGAATCTCCAAGTAGACCCTCGCAAAGGACCCGGGGCGTCATGGAGGGGGGGGGGGGGGGGTGGGGGGGCATTTCCCTAAACCCTAAACCCTAAACCCTAAACCCTAGACCCTAAGTATAGCGTCAGTAGGCTTGTGGGTCCCTGTTGGTATCCTGCCGACACCCTTAGGAACCGTTACAAACCTGCAACTGTAAACCCTATAAACCCGATAAACCCTGAACAGAACCCAGTATAACCCCTTATAAACCCTGCAACTGTAAACCCGATAAGCCCTGTGCGCCGTGCAACCCCTTGCAGCCTAAAGCCCTGAAACCTACCCCTCCTACTTGTGAGCGCGGCAAGGGGTTCAAGGAGAAACCACGTGCGGGAGAAAAAACCTCAATCCCTAAACCCTAAACCCTAAACCCTAAACCCTAAACCTTAGACCCTAGACCCTAAACCCTAAACCCTAAACCCTAAACCCCCAAGACCCGAAAGCGGCCTTACTAGGCTTACCTCCCAGCCGTGATCGGACCGCCTACGCGAGGCCTCTCCTTGCGTCAAGCTAGGTAGGTGCTTGGGACATAGGGTTTTAGGGTTTAGGGTTTAGGGTTTAAGGTTTAGGGTTTGGGGTTTGGGGTTCAGGGCTCTAAGGGTTTAGGGGTTTAATTAGTTTAGGGGTTGTAGGGTTGAGGGTTTGGGGGTTAAGGGCTTTCAGGGTGTTGGGGTTAAAAGGGTCCAAAGTCTCAGAGTTAGAAGGGTCTTGGGTTCAGGCAGGCGCTTTACACCCTAAACCCTGAGCCCTAAACCCTAAACCATAAACCCTAAACCCTAAACCCTGGCTGGAAGGTGTGCCCTGCCGCGGCCCGCGAGTCTGCCACCGCCTGGACCGCTTGACTTTGGCTTGGGGTTTGGGGGTTTGGGGTTTGGGGTTTAGGGTTTTTATTGATTTAGGGTGTGAGGGTGTTAGTGTTCTTTGAGCCTCAGCAAGTCTTGGGGTTTAGGGTTCAGTGTCTAGGGTATAGGGGTTAGGGGTTTTGGGTTCAGGGTTTAGGGTTTAGTGGCTTAGGGTTCAGGCTTCAGGGGTAAGGGGGAGTTTTGCTATGTTCCACTGCGGAGGACTTCCGCGTGGGAGGCCCCATGGTGGTGGCGACCTCGGAGGAGGCACGATGGCGCTACTATGGGGGTCGGAATAATGAGTACTTGAAGGTTCAGGGTTTAGGGTTGAGGGTTTAGGGTTTACTTGGAGGTTCATGGTACTTACTAGCCAATTATAACTGAACCTACAACTGTACTTATAACCACCCCCCCCCCCCCCCCCCCCCCGCCGTTCCCGAAACCCTACTGAAGTTTCTGGCTGGGGAGCTCGGGACGTCTTGGGGTTTGGGAACATTTTCCCATGAAATCCTACATAACCCCCCCCCCCCCCCCGCCCAAAACCCCGAGCCCCGAACCCTCTTAAACCTCCGAGTCGAACTCAACGACTTAGGGTTTAGGGTTGAGGGTTTAGGGTTGAGGGTTGAGGGTTTAGGGTTTGGGGTTCATGGCTTCGGGTCTCAACCTTGAATGCCTCAAGCCCTGAAGCAATAAGCCCAAAAGAGCCAAACCTTTAAACCCTCAACCCTAAACCCTATAAACCCCATAAACCCTATAAACACCATAAACCCCATAAACCCCATAAACCCTATAAACCCTATAAACCCTATAAACCCTAAACCCTTTAAATTAGAGGGCGGTGCGCTGTGGGGCCTGTGTTTTTTTTTTCGTGTTTTTGCAGGGCACAAGTGTTTAAAAAGCAGGTGTGCATGCACATGACACTCTTTATCCTGGATACTCTATATTTACAAGCACGCGCGCATACACAGGATAATAATTTACAGCCTTTAAATTCCTTTAAAACCTTTAAAATTTAATTGGAGAGGCCTTCAATTAAATTTTAAAGGGGAGGGGCCCCCTTTAAAATCTTTAAAATCTCCATTTAAATTTAAATGGTTTTAACGGTCTTAAAGCCCTTAAATTCCTTTAAAACCTGTAAAATTTATTTGGGGAGGCCCCCAATTGAATTTTAAAGGGGACGGGCCCCCTTTAAAATCTTTAAAATCTTTAAAATTTACTTGGACCTCCATTTAAATTTTAAAGGTTTTAGAGGAATTTAAAGGCTTTAAAAACCTTTAGAACCTTTAAAATTTAAATGGAGGTCCAAATAAATTTTAAAGGTTTTAAAGATTTTACAGGGGGCCCACCCTCTTTAAAATTTAATTGAGGGCCTCCCAAATAAATTTTATAAAGGAATGTAAAGGCTTTAAAACCTTTAAAACCATTTAAATTTACATGGAGGTCCAATTAAATTCAAAGATTTTAAAGATTTTGAAGGGGGGGCCCGCCCCTTTAAAATGTAATTGAGGGCCTCCCCAAGTAAATTTTAAAGGTTTTAAAGGAATTTAAAGGCTGTAAAACCTTTAAAACCATGTAAATTTAAATGGAGGTCCAATTAAATTTTAAAGATTTTGAAGATTTTAATGATTTTAAAGATTTTAAAGGGGGCCCGCGCCCTTTAAAATTTAAATGGAGGTTAAAGGAATTTAAAGGCTTTAAAACCTTTAAAACCTTTAAAATTTCAATGGAGTTCCAATTAAATTTTAAAGATTTTATATCCAGGCATCTGGGCGAGGAGGGGGGGGGGAGGGGGGGGGTGGTGGGGGGGGGGGGTTTGGGGGGGGGGGGGGGGGGGGGGGGGGGGGTGGGGGGGTTCCACCCCCACCCCCCCCCCCCCCCCCCCCCCTCTCCCCCCCACCCACCCCCCCCCACCCTAAAAATGAACCATAAGAAATCAAGTTAACCTTACCTAACCAGTAACGTATGACAGTCAACCACGCCCATCTAACCTTAGTATAGTTCAACTACTTAACTTCGCCCATCCAACCTCAAACAACGGAATCTTCAACGAAGAGCCCCCCCCCCTCCCCCCCACCCCCAAAGAATCAATGCTTATAAGCAAGCCATCTGCTTATAAGCAAACCCTTCCTCTACACAAAAAAACTCTATAAAAATGAACCATAAGAAATCAAGTTAACCTTACCTAACCAGTAACGTATGACAGTCAACCACGCCCGTCTAACCTTAGTATAGTTCAACTACTTAACTTCGCCAGTCCAACCTCAAACAACGGAATCTTCCACGAAGAGCGTTAAAAAAAACACAGGCCCCACAGCGCACCCTTCTGTTAAATTAATCCATAAACCACCCCAAGCCCTCAGCAATCCCAGCCCACCCTAAGCATCAAGGGACTCTGCCTCGGACCCCTAAGGTTGCACGTACCGTAGGGCTTGGGGACTCTTTTGAAGGATCCTCACAGGGAATATAAGGGCCACCCTAAACCCTATACCCCTAAAACCTAAACCCTAAACCCTAAATCCTAAACCCTCAACCCTAAACCCCGAAAAACCTTTAGGGGCATAACCTTAGGGGTGCAAGTCTAAACCGTCTTAACCCCTTGAAAGCAACCCTACTACAGCTCTCAGCCTACAATCCTCAAACCCTGATACGCTGAAGCCCTCACACCCTTAGAAACCTGAAGCCCTGTAAACCCCTGTATCCCAAATTATACCCTTAAGCCCTTACACCCTTAAACCCTAAACCCTAAACCCTAAACCCTAAACCCTAAACCCTCAACCCTAAACCCTAAACCCTAAACCCTAAACCCTAGACCCTAGACCCTAGACCCTAGACCCTAGACCCTAGACCCTAAACCCTAAGCCCTAAGCCCTAAACCCTAAACCCCAAGAAATCCTTGCAGAGGCGATCCGGAGCCTGATGTTCTGCTTTGCCGAGCAGCTGGTGGAGAAGGAGCGTGGCCACGTGCAAGACCTGAAGTTCACGAAGAGGGCCCCCTAAACCCTAAACCCTTAATACAGGGAATTGGACTCCGTTGCCCATCCGGGCTGGTGGATTCCACAGGTCTCCACACTCAACGCAACCCCGGACCCTACATAGCGCCCCCGAAGCCTCTTGAGGCCCCTTGAAGATTGCAGGGGTTCCGATGGCTTTTGTTGGCCTCGGGGTCTCCACCTTTGGCTTACACCCTCAACAGAAGCCCTCAGGGCAGCTTGAACAGCGCCTGCGCGCGCGCGCGCCTGCGCGCGCGTGCCCGCGTGCCATGGGCAGCGAAGTGCTGCCGGCAGCCCCGGCGCTGCGCGTGCGCGTCGTGCAGCTCTCCGGCGAGCTCGCCGAGATCCAGGCCCAACGAGGCTTGCTGCTGGAGGAGCTCAAGGACCGCCTGTATCTATATCCCCCTTGGGAGTTTTGTTGGGTTGTTTGTGTTTATATAAAACCCAAGAGTTATACATTAAACATATTGTTTTTTATTAAGGTTCTAAGGGGAGTATAGGTATAAGGCCACGAAGCTCCCGGCCTTCGAGCAGCGTCTGGTCCATGGGGCCACGGAGCTCACGGAGTCGAAGCAGCCGCTGGGCGACCTTGCGTCTGCAAGCGGTGACCTGGAGCTCACGCTGGTGAGGCGCGGGCTTCTCGCGCAGGTCAGAGGCAACCCTACAGCGATTGACATCGTCGGCGAGCTGCGGCACGATCGCGAGTTCGCCAGGTACATGCTGCCCAGGTGCGGGCGGGCTCTCGGGCGCTTCAGCAAGGAGCTACAGCAGGATGAAGAGTTGGCACTTCTGGCCGTTCGTTCGAACCCGACCGCCATCTGGATCTGGCACAGCTTGTCTTGCGCGCAGCCTTCCATTCGAGTCATGTTTACGGCAGGCTTGAAATTTCAGCGGCGAATGGGTCGAGGCTGCTGGGGCGACGGGGCCAAGATCCTCCGTTTGATCAAGGCTGCCTCGACGCTGCCACTGGCTCGGGTCCGCCAGAAACTGGAGCTCCTCCCAGACCCGAACAGCTGGGCCCGAGCCGCAGTCATGCTGTCCTCTGTCGAGAAAAGCGCTTATCTTGATCTCCTCCTGAACGGCATGCTCCATGAGGCGTTTCGCATACGCGAGGTTGCCCTTGTGGCTGTGAAGACCTGCGGCTGGTTGCTGCGTTTCTGCCCAGCCTTCCAGGAGGAAGACCTGCGGCTGGTTAAACCCTAAACCCTAAACCCTAAACCCTAAACCCTAAACCCTAAACCCTAAACCCTGGAGGACAAGGAGATCGCCCTCGCCGCGGTCAAGCAGAATGGCTGGGCCATCCAGCATGTCGACAGGGAGCTGAAGGAGGCAGACCGTTCCATCTCCATGGCAGCCGTCAGGAACCTTCCAATTTTCTTGGGAATGTCTTTTTAATTTTCGGGCACTGTAACTTCCTAAGAACCAGCTAAAAATTACTATTTTTGCTAGGGTTCCAAGTTCAGTATAGGAACACCTATCGCGTGATGAAGATCCTCCCGCAACGCTGGCAGCATGACGACGGCGTCGTCTTGAAAGCCCTGGAGGAGAACTGGCGGGCCTTTCTCCTGGCTCCCCCAGAGACTTAGGGTTTTTTGGAAATATTTGTTTAAATTGTTGGGCACTCTAGTTCTTATAAGAAACAGCTAAATTTACAAATTTCTGCTAGGGCTCCAAGATCAGTGTAGGAGATGAGGAGTCGCAGGCCCATCCTCCTTGCAGCCGTCCGGAGGAATTGGCGCCTAAACCCTAAACCCTAAGCCCTAAACCCTAAACCCTAAACCCTGAACCTTAAACCCTAAACCCTAAACCCTAAACCCTGAGGAATTGGCGACTTATTTCCTTCGCCCCTCCCGCGTGGCGCGAGGACGAGGAGCTAGTGGCTGCCGCGCTGGCATCTTCGGGCGCGTCGCCGGTACAGGTGATCGACGAAATAAGGGTATAATAGGGACTAAATAAGGGTGTACACATATATATATATATATATATATATATTTATTTATTTATTTATTTTTTATTTATTTATTGATTATATATATGGTTCATATGGTTATATAGGGGAATAAGTACTAAGAGTTAAGGGTCCCTTCTAGGGGTCTCTCCTTTCCCCCCCCGCCCCCCCTAAGGTGAAGCAGGCGCTTTCCGGCGAGCTTTTTTGCCGCCGACGTCGGCTGCAGGGTGCTGGCTTCATGCTGCGACTGAAGGGGTCGAGCTCCGGCGAGGGGCTCCCCGGAAGTTTGTTTCGGCCCGCTCAAACCTCTCAGTGTCGGGGCAAAGACGACTTGCCAAATGAAGGACCTGAGGCGTGCGAAGAACGCTTGCCGGCGTCGGAGCAAAACCAATAATAACCAAAATGTTCAAGCTCTAGACTCTCTAGAGGGTCTAGGGTTTAGGGTTTAGGGTCTATACCCCATATCCTTGCAACCGTGATCGTTTAGGGTTTCCTGAACCCTATAAATCCGATAAGACTCTTAAGTATCTAGGGGCTGGGCAGTCAACGTTTAACCTTGTTGGTTACATATAATCCTACCAGACAGTTAAAAAGAGTTAGCCTTTTTTGTACCAGGGAGTTCAGCCCCGAAGAATACCCTAAATCCTGAGCCCTAAACTCTACATCCTAAACCGCACGCAGGAGTATCGCGCGATTGTGTCCGGAAAGGTGGAGGAGGAGGGCGCGTCCTTCACCATCGATGAGTGGCTCGGCTTTGGGATGTTTTGGTCTTCTTTCAGGCCAGCTAACAGATAGGGTTTAGGGATGTTTGGGGTTTAGGGTTTAGGGTTTGGGGACCCATAAACCCCAAATTCTACAATCTCAACCCAAAACCCAAAAAACCCGAAACCCTAAAACCGCTAATTAAACCCCAAACCCCAAAAACCTACACCAAACATACTCAAAGAGCCGCTAAGCCCCCAACCCCAACCCGAAAACCCTCCACCCTAAGTCCGCCAAACCTCAAACCCTAAACCTTAAGCCCTACACCCTCAAACGACGAAACCCCAAAACCCCCCAAAGCCCTAACATCCCCCCCAAAACCCCCCAAAACCCCCCAAAAAACCTAAACCCCAAAACAACCAAACGCCTAAAACCACCCAAAACCCCCCAAAACCCGAAACCCCAAACCCCCAAAACCCCCAAAAAAACCCAACAACCCTAAACCCCAAACCCCCAAACCCCCAAAACCCCCAAAACCCCCAACCCCCCAAACCCTCGCTGAAGGCCGGTTGATGGGAGGGCCGCCTGCACCGACGTCAAGGTTCTGAAGGCTGGGTTTAGGGTTTAGGGTTTGGGGTTTGGGGTTTAGGGTTTAGGGTTTAGGGTTTAGAGTTTAGGGTTTAGGGGTTCTGAAGGCGGCAGGGGGCCTCACCCCTTTACCGGGGTCTTTTGTTAAGTTTAAGGGGTTTTGGGGGTTAGGGGTTTAGGGCTTTAGGGTTTCGGGTTTAGGGCGGTAGGGTTTAGGGGTTTAGGGGTTTGGGGTTTAAGGGCTGGAGAAGTTTACATGAAGTTACCATAGAAAGGAAAGCCTCATATAGCCCTGATACGCCAACTTATCTGCCTGTTAAATTACATTGAAACCGCTCTGTTTTGTTCAAAGCCCTGGTATGGTAGCTTATTTGAGTTCTTCAACAAGAACCTCGGGTTTGCCGGGTTTGAATGCCTGGGCGCCAGGGTTTAGGTTTTAGGGATTAGGGTTTAGACTTTCCTACTCCACCAGGGACAGATACATGACATCATAGACCGATCGTGCTACGTCCACCTGGCACGTTCTGCTGTCTGAAACGCCGAGCCCTTTGTCAGTTGTTCCACTTCGGTTGCTATTTGGGCCAAACATTGCAGGGAGGTTGTCCGAGTGCCAAAGACACAAGAGCCTGTGCTTATTTGTGACAGCGGAGGCGGATCGCGGATTCACCTGAGCGTCGATTTGGCGCTGCTGTGTCATCAGCAGCGCGTCCGGCTGTTCCTTCTCCCTACCTCACACGGGCTCTAATGCCCCTGTACCAGTGTCCGAACAAAGAAGCACAGAGATGCTGGGACTCCATCCGAAAGGAGGGCGAGACCTTAAGTCACCTGCAAGCACTGGATGGCGCCCACTAGGCGTGGGATCTTTCACACATAGGGGGTTTACGAAAATAAGTGGCCCCCCTAATATAGACCCCCACACAGTAGGATCCTTTTTTTACAAGGACCTTAAGGTACCCTCAATTTCAGAAAACCCCCATATACAGCAAACACTACACGGCCCACCCTTAAACTCCCCTGCCCAAAGCCTCAACTCGTCTATAAACGAGTTAGTCACAGTAATGACGTTGAACATATGAAACTGATTGAACACAGTAAGCATGTTTAGCGTATTAAGCATACTGAACAGGTTAAGCACATTCAACGTACTGTTCATATGAAACAGAAAAAACAGAATATACACTTATGCGCACATGTACACACACATACACATAAGTATATATATATATATATACATATCTGTATGTGTACATACATACATGTGTGTCTGTCTGTTTTTGTTTGTCTGTTTGTCTGTTTGTCTGTTTGTCTGTTTGTCTGTTTGTCTGTATGACGGTCTGTCTGTCTGTCTGCCTGCCTGCCTGTCTGTCTGTCTGTCTGTCTGTATGTGTATGTATGCGCGAATCCAAATCACAGTTCGCAAAAACATCCAAGAAGCAGCAGAACTAGCTCCATACAGTCTCCTGAGTAGGGTAAGTTCTTTAAGGTTCCCCTAGACCCTAAACCCTAACGCAGCCCTGTCTTGGGCAGGTGGCGCCCTGCCCCCATCATGGTCACCTTACTGAACTGGCTCTCTCACCCCGTCAAGGCCCCTTGCGGGTGAGGGCTTCGGTCCTAAACCCTAAACCCTAAACCCTAAACCCTAAACCTTAAACTCTAAGCAAACCCAACACCTAGACCCTGAGCCCGTTGCGGTTCAGAGTAAAGGGTTTAGGGTTTAATCAGGGTTTGGGGTTTGGGTTTGGGGGGTACTCAGATCGACGACAGCGCGCGGGCGATAAATACAATGCTCAAGGAGGGTGTGGTCGTCGACGGGGTTCGGAGACCACTCGACCCCGATTGGGTGAGCCCTCTGGTCGAGCGCGACAATAAGACCTCGGCAAGGCATGAGCCTGTCGATTGGTGCGGCAGAGACTGGCTGAGGACGGGCCGGAGGCGCGGATTCTTACAAGCTTACGAAGGCAAACAACCTGCTCATGAAGTTGGTAGAGTCTCTTATGAACATCGAGAGCTCGGCTGACAAGCCCGTTGAAGAGACGCTTGAGAGCGTTGGCCGGATGATGCGCCGAAGCGGGGGATTTTGGGTTTCTTCGGTTTTGGGCTCCAGAGAATCAGGGGACGTGGGACCATACGATCACGGGTGCCCAAGAAGCGAACTGCATAATTAGGTGTGGTGTTTCGGTCTTTTTTTTGCCGGCGGGGGGGGGGGGGGGGGGGGGGGGGGGGGGGAGAGGTGGGGTTTAGGCTTTAGGGCCTTCGGGCTTGAGGTGGCTTACGGGCTTAAACATTCTTGTTGAAAAGCGGGGCTTTTCTTGGGGGCTTATGGGGCTTTGGGGGCTTTAGATGCTTAAGTGGGGGTTCTTGGTTTTAGGCTTTTGGGTTTTTGGGTTTTTTAGTGTTTCTTTTTGGATTTAGGTGTTGTTGGGTGGTGGCTGTGTGTTTTGAGGCTATGGGGGTTGAGGGTCGTTTGTTGTTTTCGAGCTACAGGGCTAACCGGGCTTTCAGGGCTTTCGGGAGGGTTTTCGACCTTTGGTTGGGTTTTAGTGTGGAGGTCCCCGCCACGACCTAACAGTCCTTAATCGGGATTCTAGTACCCCCCCCCCCCCCCCCCTTGATATTCCCTATGAAGGACTGTTAGCATAAGGGCGAACAGCCCAAATTAGGGGTTTAGTTGGGCTTTATGTTTAGCTTTTTTGGTCCCTTTTGCACGGGAGCCCCTTCAGGAGCCGTTGGGGAGGCCCTTGGGGAGGTCGTAGGAGTCCATGCGGGAGGGAGCCCGCACATGTGGAGTTCTTTTCTTGTGGTGTCCGTAACCCTAAACCCGAAACTCCTAAACCCTAAAACCCTAAATCCCTAAATCTAAAGCCCTAGGTAGGCCCTTGGGATATGTCTTATTGTCCTTTATTGGGTGTTAGAGGATCACATTCAGCACTATTTTCCGGGGTTTTAAAGGGCCATCCTAGTAACCCCTTCAACCCGAGACCCTAAGCGCCAGCTGAACTGGCTGGTTCTGAGTAGGGATAAACCCTAAACCCTAAACCCTAAACCCTAAACCCTAAACCCTAAACCCTAAACCCTAAACCCTAAACCCTAAACCCTAAACCCTAAACCCTAAACCTAAACCCTAAACCCTAAACCTCAATTCCCTCATTCCCTAATACGAGCCAGGGGATTAAGGAGCTTCCCCAGCTGGCGTCGAGGTCGTTATCGCCAGCTCCGACGGCACTGTGCCGAGGCCGGCTTAGTTGTGGGTTTTGGGTTTAGGGGTTCAGGGTTGGGATGCTCCCCTCGAAAAACCCTAACCCTGAGATGTTCCCCGGAAGGGGTTGGTTTAGGGTTTGGGGGTTCAGGGTTGGGATGTTCCCCTTATACTAACAGTCCTTAGTAAGGATTCCATTTAACAGGGGATACTATAATCCCCATAAAGGACTGTTGCCGATCCCAGCTCTGAGCCTGCCACCGCAACCTGTGACCAGGGGGCCAATCCCCACACCCTGCATCTCGGAGGAAGGGGCAGAGCAGGACGAGGGCGCTCCCCCGACTGGAGGTGCTACCACTGGGGATACAGAAGGGCTTACCCCTGAAGAGATTGAGGAGGCGGAGAAGGCGGCGCGCTACTATGCCGAGCTGGACCGGATGCTGAAGGTGTTGGGTCCTGGGATAGTGGCCTTTAGAATTTAAGGTGTATCCAGTGGCTGTTGATTGTTTTGCGCCCCACTGTGAAACAAGGGTTTAGGCTTGAGGTACCGTAAGGTACTTGGAGGTTCAGGGTCCTTATTACCCCCGGTACTTAAAAAGCCCCCTAAGGCCCCTGTGTATAAGTCCTCTAAGTAGGTGGTAGACTTCTCCTTGTAGGGCTGTTGGGAAGCACACTAGTTTAGGGCTTGGGTTTAAAGATTTGTTTACCCTAAACCCTAAACCCTAAACCCTAATTATTTAGGGCGATTTTTTCGGTTGTGAGTGCTAGGGCTGGGAGGGGGTTTAAGGCTGAAAGGGCTCACTGGATTGAGGTCTAAAGCTCTGAGGGGTTTAGGGTTCAGGGTTTAGGGTTTAGGGTTTAGGGTTGAGGGTTCAGGGCTCAAGGTCCTTGGAGGCAAGACCCCAAGCTTGAAACCCGTAGACCCACGGAACCAATAGAGTGCCTAAACCCGAACCCTCCCCAAGCTTCGAAACCTCAAAGCCCGAGAGGCTTAACCCCAGAATTCTGAACCCCTAAGCCCTTACAAGCCTTAAACCCTAAACCCTTTTTTGGGAAACTAAAAGCCTGAAACCCTCAAACATGAGCCCTATTTCGGGTAGCTAGAAGCCTTAACTTAGTAGCTAAATGAGTACACTTTACACTTTTTGGGGATACTATATTCCCCTATAGAACTGAAGGCGTACACTTTTGGGCGGCTTGTGAACTCAGCAACTAGGTTAAACCCTAGGACAGCCTTGAACCCTAGAACCCGGAGCCCAAGCGCACGATGTAGGGTTTCCGGTTTAGGGTTTAGGGTTTAGGGTGGCCCCATCCTACAGAGCATTTCTTTTGATCCGCCCAAAAGCTTGTTTAATTCGTGTGCGCACCATTCGGACCATGACAGCAACGGACCCCATGTGCGAAACCCCCGTCCCATATCAGTCCCAAAGCCCTGAACCCTAAACCCTAAACCCCAAACCCTATAAACCCTAAACCCTAAACCCCTAACCCCAAACCGCGAAGCCTGTACCCTAACTTCCGAGGCGCTGGGGGCCCCCATCGTCAATGAGGACGCAGGTGCTTCAGGGCTTGGTGTGGAACTTGGGGTTGAAGGTTTGGGGGTTTAGGGTTTAGGGTTTAGGGTTTAGGGTTCAGGGTTTAGGGTTTAGGGCTTAGGGCTTAGGGTTTGGGGTTGAGAGTTTAGGATTTAGGAGTTTCGGGTTAGTGTTTCGGGGTGTTTAAGCATAAAGCCTAAACCACTACGCCCTAAAGAGCCCTACGGCCTAGCACCCTGACAGCCTTTAACGACTCTCGTTAAGCCCCGCCAATAACTTTGGGCTGGACAAGGGCTTTTGGGCTTTTCAAGTTTGAGAGAGCTGAGGGATCTAGGACTAGCTGGGTTTTGGTGCTTGGGGAGGGAACGGGCTGAGAGGTGTGTGCAGGGTTGAAATTTTGGGCGGTTTCTCCAGATACTTGGGGGTCTTGGCACTGACGGATACGAAACTTAACACCTATAAACCCTAAAGCCTAAACCCTAAACCCTAAACCCGCCTCAAGGCGTGGTCTACGCTGCGGCGGAAGCTTGGAGACGGCGGGGGAAGGCAGGGGTTGGGGTTGGGGCTGAAAGTCCGAAACCCTGAGCCCTCAACCCTGACACCCCCCAAGCCTACCCAAAGGCTCCTATGTAGTACCTTTTTGGGTTAGTATACTAGTATCCCCTTGTAACTGACCCAAAAAGGCATTTGGCCTTCAGGATCAATGCGGCTCTGAAGTACGAGAGGTCGAGTCAAACGTTTAAATGGCTTTCCTCGACTAGGATTTTTTTGCTTAAGAACTACCCCAAACAAATAGATGAAACAGCCCTAGATTTCCCTATATTTTCCTCATGAGGAAGACTGTGTATATTTTCTGTTGGTGCGGGGGGGGGGGGGGGTTCCTAAGCAAATAGTAGTCTAAGGGAAACCCCCTAAACCCGATACCCTAAACCCCAGGGCCCTAAACTCTAAACCCTAAACCCTGGACCCTAAACCCTAAACCCTAAACCCTAAACCCTAAACCCTAAACCCTAAACCCTAAACCCTAAACCCTAAACCCTAAACCCCAAAAACCAAAAGAAAGTCAGGCTTTGCCCTCGCCTTTGGTGCGGCATGTGGGCCGCGGCAAGGGCAACCTCTTTCTGCAGAAGCTTCGGGCGCCTTCGCTGAGGTTTTATGGGTCAGGGGTTCGGGTTTAGGGCTCAGATGCGCTGGTTAGGAAATTTTCTTGAAGCTTTCCGGGTATATATATATATATGTATATGCATAATATGCATATGTATATATATATATATATAGAGCACATAGAAATGTATGTGTTTTTGAGGGGCCCAGGTTAGAGGTTTCAGGGTTTGTTTTTTGATTTTTTCTCCACACCCTCGGTGTGGGACTGCCTCATGCAGCAAAGTATCCTTAGTTACCTGTCTGCTCTCGCATTGATTGGTGTTGGGGTGGGGATGGCCAAAGTGTGTAGTAGAACCGTTTCTTGAGGGGTCAGGAGTCAGGAAAACGGAGTCGGGAATATCATGCACCGATGAAGTTTCGAAGGGTTGGCTCAATCCCGGTGTGTTTAGAGTCGGGTTAGTGTACAGGCGTGAAGCCGTGAATTAGTCTGTTAAGGGGGGCCCTGAACATCTGAGCTGGTTTTATAGGAGTCCAGGGTGCATCCGAAACCCTAAAACACTAAACGAGGAAGCGTGGGACATGGGTCGAGGGATTAGGGCTTGATATAGGGGTCGGAAAAAGTACTCATCATCTTCCCTTACCATCCCTTTATTTATGAATCTACTACAACAATCGCCCCAAACCCTATTCTACTTATCAAAGCTCGTGGGGAGTGCCCGGGATAAACCCCCCCTCCCCCAACAAAAAAAAAGTACCAGAATCCCTAAACCCTAAACCCTAAACCCTAAACCCTAAACCCTCAACCCCAAACATGAGAGCCAACTCGACCATCCTCAGCCCAAGGGTTTGTAGGGTTTGGGGTTTAAGGTTGCGCTTCTTGGGGTTTTGGGTTTCAGGGTTTAGGGGCGAAAAAAACCCTAAACCCTGGAAACCCTAGGAGCCCTACAAACCCTTGGGCTTGTAAAACCCTAAACCCTAAACCGTCCTAAACCCTAAACCCTAAACCCTAAACCCTAAACCCTAAACCCTAAACCCTAAACCCTAAACCCTAAACCCTAAACCCTAAACCCTAAACCCTAAACCCTAAACCCTAAACCCTAAACCCAAACAGCCGGAAGGTCTCCCTGCCGCCGCCCGAAGACTTGGGCTCTTCTGAGCGGGTGGCTGGGGCAGCGAAGCCTTGAACCCCCGCCTTTGCACCCCTTTTTTCAGTTTAGGGTTTAGGGTTTAGGGTTTAGGGTTTAGGGTTTAGGGTTTAGGGTTTAGGGTTTAGGGTTTAGGGTTTAGGGGGACCCCGAGTCGCTCCTCATTCTCTCATTTTTTTTTTTTTTTGTTTGGGGGGGGGGGGTTCGGTTCCCTTCTAAGCCTCTTTTGAGCCAAAAACCATATCACCCTTGGGAATTATGTTTTGCTTATCTAAAGCCCAAGAGGATATTGAAAAATATTGTTTTCATTCAGGTTCTAAGGGGAGTATAGAAAAGGGCACGCGTTTCATTCCCAGGTCCTAGGTTGCTCTTGGGTCTAGTTGTCTTTGCACCCCTAGGCCCCGGGTCTTCTTTAGGGGTCCGAAGGATTTAGGGTTAAAAGGTTCCGGTCTAATTAGGGTTTAGGGGCTTTGGGCAGTTTAGGGTGTAAATGTAACCCTACACCCTCAACCCTAATTGTTGTTGTTTTTCTGTCTCTTTTTTGAGTGCTCCTGCTTTGCGTGTGGAGTTCCTTCCTGAAGTCCCCCTAGCATCTAGCAAGTCTGCTACGCTGTTTCATATGAAGCCCAGCATGATTTCAGGGTCTTACTACATGCTTAAGCCCTGAACCCTGAGCCCCCATAACCCCAAACCCTAAACCCCAAACCAGGGCCCAACCCTAAACCCTAAACCCTAAACCCTAAACCCTAAACCCTAAACCCTAAACCCTACTTCCTTGGCGCTGCGGGGCTGGAAAACCCTAAGGCGCCAACTGCCCAGGTCACGGTGGAGGTGCCCCCCTCCGATCGCTTCGAGCTGCTGATGGACTGCGTTTGCGTTAAGGTTTAGGGTTTAGGGTGTAGGGTTTAGGGTCTAGGGTTTAGGGTTTAGGGTTTAGGGTTCAGGGTTCAGGGTTTAGGGTTTGGGGTCAACCTGAAGAACCCAAAGAGTAAACCCCTCACCTAACGCCCTATAGTCCCCTCAACGCCCGAGCCCGAAACTATACCCTCCCTGGGAATTTTTTATTTTTATTGATATAAATCCCAAGAGGATATTTGAAATACTATTTTTATTAAGGTTCTAAGGGGAGTATAGGTAAGCCCCAAACCGCGAAAGCACCCAAATCACAACCATGGAGCCTCAGGGGACTGTCGCAGTCGAGCCGCAGAGGGTTTGCTTAGTAGTAGAGTTGGTAACCTTTAACCTTTTTGGGGTGGTAGATTCTCCGTAGAATCCCAAAGGTTAACCTTCAAAAACCCTGGGTACTGGGACAACTAAGTTTGGGGTTTAGGGTTCAGGGTTTAAGGTTTCGGGCTTCAGTTTCATGAGTCGCGCGGGCGCGATGTGCTACTGAAGTGTTGCTGCAGGGAAGCATCCAAAAGCCTTATAAGCCCTCAGCCCTGCTTGGAATGGGCACATATGACTAATAGAGTTGCCTCAAAACCGAAACCCCATAAACCGCCTAAACCCTGAATCCTAAACCCTAAACCCTAGAAACCCCAAACCCTAAACCCCAACCCCTATAATGCGATGATTAGAGCCTTACTTGCTTATAACCCTACCCATACCCCTGAACCTGGGCGCAAGCCTGAGCTTCCTGTTTCCTGTGGTTTCAGGGTTTAGGGTATAGGGTTTAGGGTCTAGGGTTTAGGGTCTAGGGTCTAGGGTCTAGGGTTTAGGGTTTAGGGTCTAGGGTCTAGGGTTTAGGGTTTTGCCCCAAGGGTCCAGGTACCGAAATAGGGAATACCTGGGCCTGAAAGTACCTTCTGTACAGAGACTTCGGGGCCCAAGTATATAAGAATGAGGTACATGGACCCTCAGGGTTAGGGTCTACCCACCCTAAGCTCCAAGCCCTTAAAGCCCTTAACAGCCCTAAACCCCAAGTCCCAACCTCCCCAACTCGCCCCTAACAATTTCGAACCCCTAATGAAAGCCCCAAAAACCCGAAACCCCATACATCCCCTAAATCCCCTAAGCCCTTAACCCCTAAACCCCGAAACCCCTAAACCCCTGCAGTCAGGAACCCCATATGGGGGTTTCCGAAATAGGGGTACCCTTTTTGGGGAGTCCCTTTAAGGGGATTCTTTTCTATGTAGGGGTAGAAAACAGGTACCCCTATTTTGGGAAAGACCCATATCTTCCAGAGGATACCTCGGCCCGGGCATTCGAGTATGGCTGGCGAACGGACCAGATTGGTGAGACGAAGCTCATGGAGGACCCCTCGCCGTGAGTGAGGGCCTAAACCCTGAACCCCTAAACCCCTAAACCCCTAAACCCCTAAACCCCTAAACCCCTAAACCCCTAAACCCCTAAACCCCTAAACCCCTAAACCCCTAAACACCTAAACCCCTAAACCCCTAAACCCCTAAACCCCTAAACCCCTAAACCCCTAAACCCCTAAACCCCTAAACCCCTAAAAACCCCTAAACCCCTAAACCCCTAAACCCCCTAAACCCCTAAACCCCTAAACCCCTAAACCCCTTAACCCCTTAACCCCTTAACCCCCTAAACCCCTAAACCTAAACTCAAGACCCCACGTCTCCACGGATCCTAACGAAGCTAGCCCTAAACCATGGCACTTTCTGAAACCTAAGCCCAAACCTGAACCCGAAACCCCAAACCCATCAACCCTACATGTAGGGGCCCCCTAGTTATAAGTAAGGTTTTTTTGTGCCCCTAAATTGGGTTATCAGTCCTATTGTTTAGGTTCTACTTCCCTTAAGTCAGTGTAGTTAGGGGGCCACTATTTGTAGTTCCTCTTCCGGTACCCCCTGGCCTAGGAGGCTGAGTCCTAGGCGCTGAGACCTCCTGCGGCTGGAGCAGCCCCGGCACACCCGAGATGAAGGTGCGCGTCGCGAAGGCACAGGGGGAGTGTGTTTAGGGTTTAGGGTTTAGGGTTTAGGGTTTAGGGTTTAGGGTTTAGGGCTCAGGAGTCTAGGTGTGTAGGGTTTCAGGGTCTTTGGAACGGGGTTTGGGTTTAGGGCTTAGGGCCGTGGAGGGCGGTTTTTCAGCCTCCCACGGATGAGCGACGTGTTAGGTCAAGTTCGGGGGTGTTGGATGGCGCTTTTCGGGCAAGTTACAAGGGTTGTTACAGGGTTGTTGCAGGGTTGTTACAGGGTAGGTTCATTGGGTTTAGGGTTTAGGGTTTAGGGTTTAGGGTTTAGGGTTTAGGGTTAGGGTTGAGGGTTTAGGGTTCATATCAATAGGGTTATAAGTATCCTAAACAAGGTTATAACCACAGTTACCCGACTTACAACCCTACTCATCAGTACCCGAAAGAACCTGAAAGTATAGAACAGTCTAACAAGGTTCTATTCAGGACTGTTGCTCTGAGTCTAAACCCTAAACCCGAAACCCGAAACCCTAGACCCTAAACCCTACGTACACCCTAGACCCTAAACCCTAAACCCTAAACCCTAAACCCTAAACCCTAAACCCTAAGCCCTAAACCCTAAACCTAAGTCGTTGGGCCCTCTAAGACCCAGGCCATGAAAGGGCTATTTGGGCTTGAGGGGCCCGGGATTGCAAGGGCGGAGGGTTTAGGGTTTGGGTCTGAGGGTTTAGGGTTTAGGGTTTAGGGTTTAGGGTTTAGGGTTTAGGGTTTAGGGTTTAGGGTTTAGGGTTTGGGGCTGAGGGTTTAGTGTTTAGGGTTTAGGGTTTCGGGTGTAGCCTGTAGGGTTTAGGGTTTAGGGTTTAGGGTTATTTACCTACAGTTTAGTAGCATAACTACCCCGTAAGTAGCAGGTAGAACCCATCAAACACCGTAGATAAACAGGGATCCCAGCTAGAAAAAGCTAGGGGTGCTGAATGAGGACCACGTGGACGACTCCGAAGCGCGGCAGGAGGAGCGCGCGAACGCCAGACACCTTCTCAGAAGCTTGCCAGCGCGTTCTTGGAGGTTCATGGGTACTTGTAGCCCCAACTAGAAGCCTACTTATATCCTATTTAGGGGACTTAAAGGGACTTAAGGGGGCTTATGAGCACAGTATTATTGGGGTTTTCAGCACCCAGAACCCTAAACCCTAAACCCTAAACCCCAAACCCCAAACCCTAAACCCTAACCCTTAAACCCTGAACCCTACAATTGGGGTTATCAGTACCCTGAACCTCCAAGTTCGAGTCCCTGAAGCCGTAAACTCAATCAATCCCAAGTCCAAGAACGCCTGGCCACCATAGGGCTCCTAGGGTTTAGGGTCTATGGTTTACAAGGTTTAGGGTTTAGGGTTTAGGGCTTAGGGTTTAGGGTTTAGGGTTTAGGGCTTAGGGCTTAGGGCTTATAATTAGGGTTTAGGGTTTTTAGGGTTTAGGGTTTAGGGGTGCTCCTAATGAACCTGAACGCCGAAGTCATGAAATCCAACTTCCATGTCCCTCCTAAGCCCCCCCCCCCGCCTTATCCCCAGACTAAACCCTATACACACACCCTAAACCCTAAACCCTAAACCCTAAACCCTAAACCCTAAACCCTAAACCCTAAACCCTAAACCCTAAACCCTAAACCCTAAACTTTAACCTAAACCTGAAACCCCAACCCTCTATACACCCTAAACCTGAGCCCGAAAGCCCGGGCTCGGCGCCAAGGCAGTGGCGATGAGAAGCGGGAGTTGGGCTCCAGTCTTTCCAGGGTCTAGAGGGTTAGGGGCTGAGGGCGCAAGGGTTTCTGGGCTTTGGGTGGTCCAGGGTCTGGTGTCCGGGATCTCTCGGGTCTGGGCTCTTGCTGGTCTGGGCTTGTGCGGGTCTGGGCTTGTGCGGGTCTGGGCTTTCGGTGGTCCGGGCTCGCGGGGGTCTGGTGTCGGGCTCTTTCGGGTCTGGGCTGTCGGAGGTCTGGGCTCTTGCTGGTCTGGGCTTGTGCGGGTCTGGGCTGTCGGGGGTCTGGGCTTTCGGTGGTCCGGGCTCGCGGGGGTCTGGTGTCAGGCTCTTTCCGGTCTGGGCTGTCGGAGGTCTGGGCTCTTACTGGTCTGGGCTTGTGCGGGTCTGGGCTGTCGGGGGTCTGGGCTTTCGGTGGTCCGGGCTCGCGGGGGTCTGGTGTCAGGCTCTTTCGGGTCTGGGCTGTCGGAGGTCTGGGCTCTTGCTGGTCTGGGCTTGTGCGGGTCTGGGCTGTCGGGGGTCTGGGCTTTCGGTGGTCCGGGCTCGCGGGGGTCTGGTGTCAGGCTCTTTCGGGTCTGGGCTGTCGGAGGTCTAGGCTCTTGCTGGTCTGGGAATGTGCGGGTCTGGGCTATCGGGGGTCTGGGCTTTCGGTGGTCCGGGCTCGCGGGGGTCTGGTGTCAGGCTCTTTCGGGTCTGGGCTGTCGGAGGTCTGGGCTCTTGCTGGTCTGGGCTTGTGCGGGTCTGGGCTGTCGGGGGTCTGGGCTTTCAGTGGTCCGGGCTCGCGGGGGTCTGGTGTCGGGCTCTTTCGGGTCTGGGCTGTCGGAGGTCTGGGCTCTTACTGGTCTGGGCTTGTGCGGGCCTGGGCTGTCGGGGGTCTGGGCTTTCAGTGGTCCGGGCTCGTGGGGGTCTGGTGTCGGGCTCTTTCGGGTCTGGGCTGTCGGAGGTCTGGGCTCTTACTGGTCTGGGCTTGTGCGGGACTGGGCTGTCGGGGGTCTGGGCTTTCGGTGGTCCGGGCTCGCGGGGGTCTGGTGTCGGGCTCTTTCGGGTCTGGGCTGTCGGAGGTCTGGGCTCTTGCTGGTCTGGGCTTGTGCGGATCTGGTCCGGCTCGCGGGGGTCTGGTGTCGGGCTCTTTCGGGTCTGGGCTGTCGCAAGCTGTTGCTTGCGCATCTGGGCGTTTTCCAATCAGAGGCGATTCAGGGTCCGGGCTCTCGGTGAGTGGGGCTTGTGCATGGCTCCATCACCCTAAACCCTAAACCCTAAGCCCTAAACCCTGAACCCTAAACCCTAAACCCTAAACCTCCCGCCCCCGAAGCTGCGGTGCCTGCATGGAAAAAGCGCTGAGAGGGCTGCAGGAATCTTGCGAACCCTAAACCGTATACTGACCAGGATGGGCTTGTGTACCTCTCTCTCTCTCTATATATATATATATATATTGTTTTTTAGAAAGGCGCTTTGTAGGGTTCTGGGTTTGGGGTTTATAGGGTTTATAGGGTTTATAGGGTTTATAGGGTTTATAGGGTTTATAGGGTTTATAGGGTTTATAGGGTTTATAGGGTTTATAGAGTTTATAGGGTTTATAGGGTTTATAGGGTTTATAGGGTTTATAGGGTTTATAGGGTTTATAGGGTTTATAGGGTTTATAGGGTTTATAGGGTTTATAGGGTTTATAGGGTTTATAGGGTTTATAGGGTTTATAGGGTTTGGGGTTTAGGTGGGGATTCAAGGGCCGATTTTCGCGCATCCTGGGGAAGGAGCCCCCAAGCCGTTCCCAATTTCCGTCGCCTCATGACCTCGTTTGTGCGGTCTTGGGTTTAGGGTTTAGGGTTTAGGGTTTAGGGTTTAGGGTTTAGGGTTTAGGGTGTGGGGAACCCGGAACTGTCAACCCATGAAAAAGCATCGAATCCCCGAAGGCACCAGACGGCTGAGGTGTTCATAAGACCCCAAGGCACGCAAAAACTCTGAATCCTAAACCCTTAACCCTTAACCCAGATAATCACACCCTAGACTTTTCTTCGACATCCCTTGGCAACTCGGGAGGCAAAACCCCACTATGGACACATGTGGACACTAAATGCACCGAACAATGCCCCTAGAATACCAAAATGCCCCCCATACCTTAGATGCCCCCCCAAAGAAGCCCTAAACCCTCTAACCCCTAAACCTGAAGCCCCAAACCCCCAAAACCCTCTAAACCTCAAGCCCGAAACCCGAAACCCTAAACCTTAAACCCTCCTCGGAGTTGAGGTGTTTAGGGTTTAGGGTTTAGGGTTTAGGGTTTAGGGTTTAGGGTTTAGGGTTTAGGGCAGCCCTAAAGCCTGAGCATAAGTTCCAAGCCCTGAAGTTAGGGGATTTCGGCTCCGCTTCTGCCGGTGGCGAAGGTGCAGCAAGTGATGCGAGACGATCCGCAGAGGCTAGATCGCATCGCAGGGGGCCAGGACCTTCACAAACCGAACGCTGTAGGGTTTAGGGTTTAGGGTTTAGGGCTTGGGGTTTAGGGTTTAGGGTTTAGGGTTTAGGGTTTAGGGTTTAGGGTTTAGGGTTTAGGGTTTAGGGTTTAGGGTTTAGGGTTTAGGGTTTGGGTACCTTAAGGCTCCAAGGACTCTTGTGTCAGGGTTTTGGGGCCAAAGGCCTTATAATATAAGGCTTTTGGGCTGTTTTGAGCCCCAGGGTAACACTCTGATTCTACATCCCAGCACAGCTACGTCTCATCAAGGGGCTTGCCTTGGGTAGGTGTAGTAGCAATTCATCTGATTCTCTCACCAATAGTTATATCTCTTTTTGTTGCTGTTAAGGTTCATTCTACTTATGAACCAAGTAGAACTGTACTTATCACCCACTTACAAGCCCCTGAAGTGCCCCAATATGGTAATATGTACAGTTATCAGTACAGTTGTACTTGGTTCATGACGACCGCAATCCCCTGACCCACACGTCCTCACCGGACAAAACCTTCGAGCCCGCTCTCAGTGAGCAGGACCTGCAGCGAGTGGCCGAAAGTCCGCTGCTCACAGGCAATCCTAAACCATAAGCCCTAAAATCGTTCTGAGCCGGAGGCTTCCGGCATTTGGGTACCTTTTTAGTACGGTTAACTATACGCAGGGTAGCTTTGGTTTTAGCCTCATTAAGGGTGTTATTTAGGGTAGCTGAGAAGTAGGGTTATACATAGGGTAGCTCTGGTTATTACCTTACTCAGGGTAGCTCCAACCCTATTCCTAAGTACCCAGAAGCTCCAGGTATGGCTTCATAATGATTCATAATGGTCCTTCAGACCAGGGAAACTGGGCGATTTATTCTGGGTCTTTCTTGGTGCCTTAAACCCATAAACATGATATGCGATAGCAGAGACTCAAAACCTTGAGTTGGATCACACCTCTCCCCACAACCACATGTGAATGCTTGTGTGGCTGGGGCATCCCTGCCGAGGGTTTAGGTTGGGGATGGCCCCTCTCTTCCACTAACAGTCCGTATTTGGGGTTATAGTACCCCCGATTATAATCCCTATGAAACACTGTTAGAAAAAGGGGGAACATCCCAAGTTTAGGTTTTACTTGGAGGTACGAGGGGAGTAATGAGGAACCACACTGAGCGTGGCAACCGGAAGCTCCAAGCCCTAGCTCAATTTGGGGTACTCGTAGCACTGCTTATATGGACCCTAAACCCCAAAGCCTGAAACTCTCACCCCCCCCCCCTCCCCCAACAAAAAGAATGATAATCAATAAACAAAGAACATAATAGAAAAGCATGAATCCAAAGCCCTTCTTAGGCATCTCGGCTTTAGGGTTCAGGGTTAGGGATTTAGAGGGTTTAGGGTTTAGGGTTTATAAGGTTTAGGGTTTAGGGTTTAGGGTTTAGGGTTTAGGGTTTAGGGTTTAGGGTTTAGGGTTTAGGGTTTAGGGTTTAGGGTTTAGGGTTTCGGGTCGCAGCCTCCGGCCCACGCCCCCCACGCAGGCCGCGTGATTGCCCAACTGGCGGCCGAGGTGGCTCCAGCTGCACCCCGAAGCGCCCCTGACCCTAAACCCTAGGGTTTAGGGTTTAGGGTTTAGGGTTTAGGGTTTAGGGTTCAGGGTTTAGGGTTTGGGGTTTGGGGTTTAGGGTGTAGAAACCTAAACCCTGAACCCTAAAGCCCTAAACCCTGCTCTCAACCGGTAGCCTAGAACCCCCAGTCCGCCCTAAAGCTTGGAAGAAGAGCCGAGGCACAGAAAGAAGGATGTGGCGGTGTGGGGTTTATGGAGTTTCGGGTTTTAGGCTTTGGTGAGCAGGGTTTATAGGCTGAGTCATCCCAAAACCCTACACCCTAAACCCTAAACCCTGAACCCTAAACCCTAAACCCTAAACCCTAAACCCTAAACCCTGAACCCTAAACCCTAAACCCTAAACCCTAAACCCTAAACCCTAAACCAGGGTTGAGGGTTTTGGAAGCCGGGGTGGGCAGGCTGACTTCCGAAAGGATCGCGGGGGATGTTTCGAAGAGGCCTGCGGCTGTAGTCGTTTTGGGTCTAGGGTTTAGGGTTTAGGGTTTAGGGTTTAGGGTCTAGGGTCTGAGTCTGGGGTTTTGGGTGTGCAAGCTTGCAAGGAGGGGGCCCCTTACTACAGTTAAGTGACTTGTAACCTCAGATAGGATCCTTAATCACCCAATTTAGGGCCCCCATAACTGACAAACGTGAGGGACTCATAATCTAAGACAGGATCCTCAAACCCAATTTAGGCACCGAAAAACTCTACTTAGCACTAGGGGTGCCCCTTTTAGGGCTTAGGCTGTAGGATGCACAATGTCCCTTGCATGGAATTAGTCTTTTTTTTTTTTTGTGGGGGGGGGGGGGGTTATTGGGCTAAACCTGAAACCCTGAACCCTAAACTCACAAACCCCCATACCCAAAATCCCCAGATCCCGAAACCCTAATCCAAAACCATACTAAACCCTAAACTCCCAAACCCCGTACCCAAAACCCCCAAATCCACTAAACCCTAAACGGCCCGTCAAGGAGAGCTACCGGAAGCCGCCCTATGTGACTCCTCCGGGACCCTGCAAGGTTACCGCCAGGTTTCAGAATTTCGGGTGCTTTGAGGTTTAATTAGGGTTTAGGGTTTAGGGCTTATGCCGTATTATCCCGTTTGCAAATGGCTGCATGGTGTAGCGGCTTGGGGCACTACGGTTTTAGGGTTCAGGGCTCTGGGTCCTTGGGTTTTAGAGCACATGCCAAAGGCCGGAAACACCGCAACCCCAAGCTCAAAGATTGACGCTTGTTACCCTTATCCCTTAACCCTTAACCCTAAACCCTAAACCCTACACCCTAAACCCTAAACCCTAGAGCCATCGGGCAGCATGGCTCTTCAAAACCCTAAGCGCTCAACGCTAAACCCCCAGGATGGGCCATTCGGCCCTAGAATCCCCAGAGTCAACCCTATGAAGGGCCGCTTTTAGGGGTTTTTTAGGGCATAGTAGCCCATGCTGGCACAACCCAACCCTACAAACCCTACAAACCCTAAACCCTAAGCCCTCAAACCCTACAAGCCTACAATGCTGCCCTGAAGGACTGACTGGTGGAGTCTGCATCGTGGCTGAGGCTGTCATGTAGGAGCCTGCTGCCCCCGCACCCCCTTCACTACTTAAACCCTGTACCCTAAACCCTAAATCCAAACATCCCAAAACCCTAAAGCCCAGCCTCCCCCGGGCCAACGCAGGCAGCTCGAGACCTGGGCCTGCGCGACGGCGGTCCCCCCGGTTCTGCGGCCGGGGACACTTCGCAGCTCTTGAGTTCAGGGTTTGAGGGTTTAGGGTTGAGGGTTCAGGGTTCGAGGGTTAGGGTTGAGGGTCCAGGGTTATAGGGTTTCGTGTTAGGGTTTATAGGGTTCAGGGTTCAGGGTTTAGGGATCTCTTGTAGGCTTACCTACCAGTGCCTTTTGGGCTATGAGGCAATGCCGAGCTAATGTCGAAGCCTCATTGCGTGAGCATGCAGCAACCTCAGTGGAGGCTGTTGACTGGAGGTCATAGCTGTTGTCAATCGTTGACAGGTTGCTTGCTTGACTTGCATTTCCTGTGTGCGCGTTGCTGAGTGCCTTCGTGCGAGTCCTGGCCCTGTATGGACAAGGGGATGTGGACTCGGACCCGAACATAGGTTGCGTAGCCATTTTCAGCTGCGTTTGAAGGGAACCTGCAGTTCTGTCGAAGGGCTGTGTGCGTGCCTCTCTTCAAGCCAAAAGGGAACTTCTTCACCAAGAGCATGCTCTTGAATTGCTTGAGGCTGTTCCAGCCAGGCCTGCCAGACCGTTGCCAGTCTTACATCTTAACTTGTTGGATGTGCCAGCCGCTGACGAAGCGATCGTCGAAGCGCTGGTGTACCGGAGCAAGCTGACACGAACAATTCATCAAGTGTCAGACGCGCCAGAGGCAAAGTTCCGTTGCGGCAGAGTGGTAGCAGCAAGCTACCAAAGGATTGGCGCGATGCCAAAGTCTGCATATCCGATATGCAAGTGCTGCTTCAAGAGCTGCGACGAACCCGAGAGTTCAAAGTAATTGAGAAGCTAGCGCGTCGGATCGTGTGCTGCGGGCACTCAGCATGGCTCGCGAGAAGCGGGCAAGAGACAAGGCGGCTGGTCCGAAATTGGGCCAAGTGTTTGAAAGTTCTGAGTAAGGCCAGTAAACTGGACCTACTGCTTAGCTTCAAGGTTGAAGCCGCCGGAGCGGGCAGTGTCGGTGCAGGTTTCCAGGCTTTCAGTGACTGTGTTCTGTTTGTGTTTTTTTCTTTTTATGAGAGAGTTGTGAGTTGACGCCCTAGTGATCAAGTCTTCTTGTTGACCGTTTTGTGGTGCGTTTTGTTTGCATGTAGGGCATGCGCGTAGTTGCGTTGACTTGGCAAGGGTGTACGTGCACTGTAACAGACAAGAGGCAGCCGAGCGGCCAGTGCGTTGGGCTTCTGAGATTACATACTGCCCGAGTGGGCCGAGGTGCGTAGCGTGGAGACCATTCGTACGCAGCTAAGCAACTTGAATTGTCCTGCTTCTTCGCTTGTCACGCCTTTGCTTGCGAACACCGCAAGTAGCTTGTTGCGCAGCCATGTCCGTCACTGATACCACGGGCTACAGCTTCGGGTCTCGGCAGACCAGCGCTTGATCCGATCGGGTGTTGGTACTTTAGCCAAGTACCTCTTGTGCAGTCCATACGTTCCGCGTCAACCTGTTGAGGCGCCTTTCAAACTTGCAGTCAAGGACGTGCTCAAAAAGGATGCCACCGTCGCGTAACTTGCAGTTCTTTGACGGCTGCTGCGTGAGGCGTACTCAATGACTGCTGCTGAGTTGCGCCACTCTGAAGAACCACCGAGAGGATGCCCCAGCCAAGAAGCTGGTGCAGCCAGAGCTTGGATCCCGATCGGCTCAAGAAGCGACAGCAAGTCTGATGGCCAGAGCTCAAAATCGAAGGCATCTGCGAGCCAGCTGGCAGACTGGTGGACCGTTTGGTTCACCAGTGTGAGGAAATCGGGTATCGCGTGTTGAGTTGTCACGGTGTATCAGCAAGGAACATCTGCTGACAGCAAGGAATATCGGCGCCTGACGATTGACGGCTCAGGTACTGTGCGTATCAAAGGCAAGGATGTCAAAACCGAAGCAGGCGTTTCGTCTGACATGCTGTTGAACTATGCCTTGACACGGAGAGGTCTTGCTGGTGAGTATCTACTGGCCTACACTCTCAATCTACAACAGCCATGATGCTTGGGCGGACGTCTTGACCACCCCCTCCCCCCTCCCCCCCCTCCCCCCCTCCCCCCCCTGCGGGGTATTCCCGCATCTCTCATGCCCGCCCCGATGCGATCATCGAGGTTTTGATAAAGCGCCCAACAGTTTGGGGCTCAGGGTTCAGGGTTCAGGGTTAGGGAAAAAGGAGCTTTAGCGCTTGGGGGTCAGGGTTTTTCGAGGGTGCATGGTTCAGTCTGAACGGCCTACATACCCGATATTGTGAGACATATATGGGTTTAGGGGGTTTAGGGTTCAGGGCATAGGGTTTACGCTTTAGGGTACTTTGAGGAGCGAATAAAATTTCAAGCTAGATGCCCTCCACTTCCGAGAGCCTTTGGAAGATTCTAATCGTGGCCCATGCTCCTATATAAGCACCTAAAGTATTGGAGTCCCTCAGGACCCTTCAGGGTTTGTGTAGGAGCCAAGAAGCTTTAGGGTTTGGGGTTTCGACTTTAGGGATTGGGGATTTACAAAAAGGTTCAGGGTTTAGGGCTTAATTAGGGTTTAGGGTTTAGGGTTCAGGGTTTAGGGTTGAGGGTTAGGGTTGAGGGTGGCGGCTGAGGACGAATACGGCCCTGAGCGACCGCCGGCCCCCTCCATCCGCGACTCGGCTGTTTCAAGGACTTTTTGGTGTCGAGCTGAAGGTTTAGGGTTTTTGAAGGCAAAAGAGCCCAAATCTTCAGAATGTTCTAACTAGGGGCTGATGCACCCCTTGTATAGTCCATACAGTCTATACAAATGAAGGGCCCATACGTCAGAACCCTTCAAAAGAAGTTAGGGACCATACTGAGGGCCCATGAGGCTACCCTCAGATTAAGGAAAAAGGCTCGCACCAACTTTGAGGTTTTTTGAGGTCCGCGGAGAGTCTTTTCGGGTTTTTCAAGGTTGCCCCGAGCGCACCGCCAAAAACCCCCAAAGGCTTGGAGCCCTTGCGAAAGGGGCTTAGGGTTTAGGGTTTTGGGTTTTGGGTTTAGGGTTTAGGGTTCAGGGTTTAGGGTTTACATAGGGTTCTCGGGTCAACAGTTGGTGCAAAAGGGTCCAGGGCGGGAATCCCAGGGGTCCCAAGGGTCCCAGGATCTCAAGGCCCCAGGATCTCAAGGTCCCAGGGTCGGGAAGGCTGGTTTAGGGTTTAGGGTTTAGGGTTTAGGGTTTAGGGTTTAGGGTTTAGGGTTTAGGGTTTAGGGTTTAGGGTTTAGGGTTTAGGGTTTAGGGTCGACTTTGTCGCTTCAATAAAGGTTTTCATCAACACCACCCGGGGTCGGCGGACTTAAGATGTGCCCTGAGCCCTAGAAGCCTTATAGCTCTAAACCCTAAACCTAAAAGCCCTCAACCCCAAACCCCAAACCCTAAACCCTAAACCCTAAACTCACCAGCCAAATCCGACCCCCCTCCCCCACCCTGGGTTTTTAAAAGGCGCTCTGTTAGTCCAGGCTCCCTGTGGGGAGCAGGAGCAAGCGCGTTTCAGCCGTCATCTTTCGAGCGGTTTTTGCAAAGGTGCATCTCCGTAGAGGGATCCCACTTCTTAAGTTCTTGACCACAAGGAAGAAGTCCCTTTACTAGGTACGATGATTTTGCATTCCAGAACTTTGTCGGCAGTAGTGGCAGACTGAGCGGGGGACGGAGTGAGGCACAAACTGCAGCATCAGGAACAACAAGTTTGTTCCAAGAACGGTTGCGCACAACTATGTTTTTTAAATATTTTGCGTCTTTAATAAATACTCCGTTCTTCTTGTAACATGTGTGGAAATAGTATTTAATAAATATTTTTGGTTTTTAAAAACCTTGCTCGTGTCAAAAACGCGCTGCTGGTCCGCCATGTTTGCCCTGGAGTTCGCCCGTAGCACCGTGTGTCAGTTTGGGGGGTGCGGCGTGCCTCTGAGATATGTGTTGCACAGGCGGTCGATGCCGACAGAATCATTGTCCGGGGTTCCATTCTTGCAGTCTTGCGCAGTTTGGGGTGAGTTCATGTTTGGTCGTTGCAAGCCAGTGCGACGCGTTCCTGTGGAAGTTACTAAACTCTATCACCAAAGTCCACGAGAGGTTCCCTGGGATTCCTCGGTCCTGGCGCGCTCCGTGCAGCGCTGCCCGAGCCACTGAAGGACGATGAGGGTTGATTGGGGTTTGGGGCTGGGGGTTTGGGGTTTAGGGTTTGGGGTTTGGGGTTTAGGGTTTGGGGTTTAGGGTTTGGGGTTTGGGGTTTACGGCTTAGGGTTTAGGATGTGTGGAGGGTGTAGGGTTGAGGATGGGTGGTGTTCAGGGTTGGCGACTGTAGGGTATAGGCTAGAAGTACAGGGTAGGGTTTCGGGAGTGAGGGCGTGTGTTCGGGGTCCCTTCAGCCCTAAACCCTAAGCCCTAAACCCCGCGAACTTGATTTCCGCTGTCGTAGGGGCACCGTGGGGGTGGAGGGAGGTAGTTGGGGGGGCTGGGGGTGGGCGGGGAAGGGTAGACAAACATTTTGCTGTAGTGAAGATGGCGGCAAGTGGGTCGATGAAAGGTGGAGGGCTAAAGACTAGGTAGGCCCTTGGCACATTTTTCATTTTCCCTTATCGGGTTTAAGAGGATCATGCGGGGGTTTGCGATAATTGGGGGGGTGCCTTGTTGGGGTCCTGATTATAAGGGGATCCTACTATGCGCGGGTCTATTTTTGGGGTCCCCAACTTTCGTAAACTCCCATATGCAGGAATGCTTTTCACAGGGTGCTTGAGGCCAATCCTAGAACATGCTGTTGTTGCAGGCACTGGCAGATCCTGGCGGTCTCCTGGCCAATGACGAGGCCAGGTGGTGATTTTTTGTGGCAGGTTGCGATGGTTGAGAAGGCCAGCGCCCGAAGTCTAAACCCGAAGTTCGGAACCCTCAGCCCTAAACCCCAATGCAGATCCTACAACAGGAGCCAGGCCCCATCACCCTCAAGCCCGAACCCTCGTGGCTTTGTCAGGTTTGGGTCGTCCCAGTCTGAGAGTGGCGCCCTGAAACCCCTACAGCCCTAGAACCGAAAACCCTCAACACACAAACCCCAAAACCCCCTAAAACCTAAAGCCTAAAGCCCTACACAACCCTAAAAGCCCAAAACCCTCAACCCCCTATATAATTCCCTAAACCCCCTAAAAACCCTAAGCCCGAAGCCCGTACATCCTGGCTCCAGCAACCCCTGGCATCTTCCCTCAAGTTCCTTCGGGGAATTTATGCTCGTCTAAATTTGCCTAGGATGCCCAGAAGTACCCTAGTTCCGTTTTTGAAAGGGTTTAGGTTCCCTTGTAAGCCCCTTTCAGCAAAAAAAGGGGCACCTAGGTTACTGGGCAACCTAGTTGGTTTTTGGAAGGGGCCTGTAGCAGGGCTATCATGATGGTTTTAGGGTTGAGGATTTAAGGCTTTACTTTCTTTATGGTTCAATTTAGAGACATTTACGGATATGCACAAGTTGTTTCGGGATTATCAACCCTAACCCCTAAACCCTAAACCTTAAACCCTGCACCCTACACCTTAAACCCTAAACCCTAAGCCGAAGCCCTGAACTCTGCCAGGGCTCAGACGAACTCTGAGCCTCCAAAGACTCTTCAGCGCGGCGCAGTACAACCATAAAGCCTAAACTCTACACCCAACAAGTTCCTAAAACTGTCACCTGTCTAAACCTCCAAAACCTGCACCCCTGAACCCGCGACCCAAGAGCAGAAACCTCAACCCTGTCCGACCCAATCCCAAAATGGTCAAGGGACCATCATGTTGAGAAGTGACCATCTAATGAAGCCAGATGAGCCCCGGCATGGCACTAGAACCCTAAACCCTAAACCCTAAACCCTAAACCCTAAACCCTAAACCGCAAACCCTAAACCCTAAACCTTAAACCCTAAGCCCTAAACCCAGAAGCAGCTGCCAGGTCCGGATTCCCCTGGAGTTTATGGCCCAGGGGCCTCCGCCGTCATGAGACGAATGGAGTATACACCCCAAATTGCATTACTTGGAGGTTCAGGGTGCTTATCACCCCAAATCAACACTGTACTTGTAAGCCCCCTTAAGTCCCCTACGACCTCGAAGTAGGTCTTAAGTAGACTTATAAGTGGGGTTATAAGTACCCATGAACCTCCAAGTAGGGTCTTGGGTTTAGGGGTCAAGCATATTCAAGCATGCCTAGAGCCCACGATGAGCCGGAAACGCACCCTGGTCCCCTCAACCGCCTAGCAACAACCCTAAATCCTAAACCCTAATTCCTAAACCCTAAATCCTAAACCCTGAACAACTAAACCCTAAACCCTGAACCCTAAACCCTAAACCCCAAACCCTAAACCCTAAACCCGGAGAGAAGCGCAACCTCCGGCGGGAATCGATTTGATGCTGCGAGCGCAAAACAGGGGGGGGGGGGGGGGGGGCTTGGAAGAATAAATAAATACATAATATATATATATATATATATATATATATATATATTTGTATATATATATATATGCTCATATATATATATATATATCTATGTATAATTACACGTATATGTATATATATATATCTCTATATATACATATATGTGTATTTATATTTGTTGTTATAAATACATATGTATACGTATATGTATATATATATATATGGATTGGCAAATGCCTGAAAAGCCTACACCCTTGAAGCACTCAGCATCCTACAATCCAGTCTCGAACTCAACAAGCACAGCCCCGAATCAGGCCCCTCCCCCCCCTCAACAGAACACATATACTGACAGCAAGAACATATATGAATATGCGTACATGTATACAGTATATATACACAGTATACACATACATGCAGTACGTATTCAACAATCCAGAGACGGAGAAAACCGACTGTCAGACCCCAAAACCCCTAAAGCACTAAGGCTGCGCCTGGCACCAGGGGCGGCCCAGCAGCGGGGGCACCCGGATCACCCGGTTTAGGGTTTAGGGTTTAGGGTTTAGGGTTTAGGGTTTAGGGTTTAGGGTTCAGGGTTCAGGGTTCAGGGTTTAGGGTTTAGGGTTTTTTCAAGGGCTGAGCTGTTCTGGCCCACCCGACCCATGGTCACCATTTTGCTGGTACCCTGTTGTGGGTTCCAGTTACCAACCTAGAAAAGGGTGCCCTTGTTAATATGTTTTTTTATATATGGTTGCTGTTTTACCAAGTTTAGGTTAATACAGACTTAGAGGGTTCGTCATGGTTTGGGGGATTTGGGTTTTCTATTTTTAGACAGGGCCAGGGTGTATAAGTGCAAGGTTTGGTCTCGCGCCGAGGTGGGCGTCAGTTGGTTGGGGGGGGGGGGGTGTTTTGGTGCCCGAAACCCTGACCTCTGAACCCTTAACCCGGAACCCTAGACCCTCTAGACCCTAAACCCAAGGCCTACCCTGGCTGTGTCGGGTTTGAGCCCTACACCCTAGGCCCTAAACCCAAGGCCTACCTGGGCTGTATGTGGTTTGGTGGCCTGCTTGGTGGACACTTGCGGGCCCCCCGACGAGATCTGTCACAACTTATGCGTGATGAGATGGTCCACGAGTTGGTCTAGGGGGAAGGGTTTAGGGTTTAGGGTTTGGGGTTTGGGGTTTAGGATTTAGGGTTTAGGGTTTAGGGTTTAGGGCTTAGGGGCGGAAGGCTCTTGGTCGGATGGTTGCAGCCGCCTGTAAATCCAAAGCAGTTGCTTCGACATGCCTATCATTGCGAGTCCCGGCTTCAGTCATTCCCACTGTGAGCATTGCAACAACAATCGGGCTGCGACTGACTGTGACTTTGGCCTTTGCGGTGGCTGTTGCGGCTACGGGGCATGCCATCGCCACGGTTGGTTTGAATACGAGTGTGAAGTATGTAGCCGACTCTTCCAAAAATCAGAACAATTTGAACCAGCACATGCGAACGCACATGCTTGGAGACAAGTACTGCCCAGCCTGCGGCACGTTCGCCAGCTCTTCCGTCTCCGGCGTGACGATGCATGTGGAGAACGGGCACTGCCCAGCATGTAGGGGTCGTGGGCGAGGCCTCGTGAAAGACTTCATGCGCCACAATGCTCCTCAGTTCATGCACCCGGCTATTTGTGATGGCTCTGCCAGCGAGAGCGCGGATGAGGATCCTTACTGCCGTCTTTGTGAGCAGCATTTCCAGAGTTTCGGTGCTTTGCTGCAGCACAACGAAGCCAAGCATGCACAGCGCGGTCCTCAACTCCGCTTGACCGGTTTTAGGGTTTAGGGTTTAGGGTTTAGAGTTACTCTTGGTTGCAGCTCCTTGTCGTGGCCTCCGGGGTCGTTCCCGGACATTATCCTTAAAACTTACCATGGTAGGGGTATAAGTAGGGCAACCATGGGTTAGACCCTAACTTGGGGTACTTCTACCCCTGCTTCGAAGTCCAAGTACCCACGTTTCACCTTTAGAGTGACGGCGCAAACTTCATGCGCTGCGAGAATTCTCCCTCACCGAGCTGCCAAGCAGAGATTTTGGGAAATGAGACAGGGTTTAGGGTTTAGGGTTTAGGGTTCAGGGTTCAGGGTTTAGGGTTTAGGGTTTAGGGTTTAGGGTTTAGACAGGAGCCGGGTGATGTCCTTGACTTAGTAGGGCTTAGGGGCTTAGGGCATATGGCTTAGGGCTTAAAGGGCTTAGGGGGCTTGATTCTAGGGCTTATGGCCTAGGCCTGAAAGGGCCTATAGGGCCTAAAGGGCCTGGGCCCTATAGGGCCTAGGGCCTAGGAATATGCCTGGGTTGCAGAGTGAGTGTGGAGAACGAGCTCACTTGCACGCGGAGCTCGTCCCAGTCTTGTCGATATAGGCTTAGGTCGCGAAAACCCTAAACCCTAAACCATAAACCAAAAAGCCAGGGTTTGTGAACAAGTTGCCTTTGCTTGACCTGATCCTTTAGGGCTACGCCCCGAAAGCCCTGAACAGCATCTTACAGCTCACCCTAAACCCTGAACCTGCTTCTTAAACACGGAGCTTAGGGGTTTAGGGGTTTAGGGGTTTGGGGGTTTGGGGGTTTAGGGGCTTAGGGTTTAGGGTTTAGGGCTACTCCCTAAACCCTACGTGTTCGTGGCGGAGGTGATCGACGCCCCGAACCCAGTTGCCAGCGGGAGCCGTGCGGCAGATACCGGCCGGGCCCTGGCATTTGGCATGGGAGGTTTCGGGCTTGTCTTTAGTTTAGTTTTCTTTAGTTTGTTAGAGGGGGGTTTTTGGGATGTTAGGTAGTTTAGTTGTTTTTAGTTGAGTTTTTGGAGGGGGGGGGGGTTGGGACGTTAGGGCTTTATAGGGTGTTATGTTTATCTGATTTTTGTTTGCGGCATTTTTGTTGTTTTGGTTCCGGGGCTGGATGTTCGGATGTCAGCGTGGGACAGGGCTGCTGTTCCTTGCCGTCCTCAAAGCAATTAGGCGCCCTCAACCCTAAATCCTAAACCCGAAACCCCATGTCCCAGACCCCTAAGCCTTAAAGCCCTTGAGCCCACCTGCTCAGAACCTTCTCTAACTATTCATGGAGGGTTGTTTCTTAGGGTTTAGGGTTTAGGAGACCCGTCCAGCCCGGAACCTTAAACCCCATACAACTTCGGGTTTAGAGTTTAGGGTTTAGGGTTTAGGGTTTAGGGTTGTGAGCCTGCAGGGCGCCTTAGGCCTAACACACCCCAATGCCCAACAGCGAATTGGTTTTTTGGGGCGGAAGCCTGCAAGCCCAAAACCTTCCAAGCCCCCCAGAAGCCAGTTCGGTTCAGGCTTTAGGGTTTAGGCTTTAGGCTTTAGGGTTCCGGGTTTAGGGTTTAGGGTTTAGGGTTTAGGGTTTACGGTTTAGGGTTTAGGGTTTAGGGTTTAGGGCTAGGGTTTAGGGTTTAGGGTTTAGGGCGGAGGGTCGCTGGGCCAGGCTCCTCGGACCTTTTGAGCATGGAGGCTCCGAGCATGCCAGCCGCCGGAACCTCGAGCATGAGAGCTGCCCAGGTTGTTTTTTTTTTTCGAGTTAGGGTTTAGGGTTTTAGGGTTTAGGGTTTAGGGTTTAGGGTTTAGGGTTTAGGGTTTAGGGTTTAGGGTTTAGGGTTTAGGGTTCAGGGTTCAGGGTTTAGGGTTTAGGGTTTAGGGTTTATGGCTTTCGGGCTTTAGGGCTTTCGGGCTCTCGGGCTTTAGGGTTAGGGCTAAGCTGTCCCGAGGTTTTGGGGGCAACCCTAAGCCCTAAGTCCTACACCTCAGCGTCCACGGTGTAGAAGACTTTGTGGTTTCGGATACGTGTGGTTTAAGAGGTAGCGCTGAGTGGGGTAAGGGTAGGGCTGCCTTCAAACGTTTAGGGTTCAAGGTCAACTGCATGATCAGGCTTCTGAACTTCTGTCTCTGGAACCTTGGAGTTTGGTGTAGAATTTGGGGTCACTTCGGCTTGCGGTGACGGGAAGAGCCGGAGTTGTCTGCATGGGATCCTGGTCAGCCTATTTTGGGCTCTACAAACCCTCCATTGCTCGCCGAAAGTTTTGACCGCCATGCTTGCCCCGGCCTTCGTCTCTTCCCCCGCACCTCTCGCACCCGTCGCCCGGGGCCCAGCCCTCCTGGCTGAGCCGCAGCGCTCGTCGGCGAGTGGCCCTGCCCTGAAATCCGAGGACGGGTTGCTCTACATAACCCTCTGCCCTATACTTTCTGGGACGTACTGGTTAGGTGACCAGAACTTTTTAAGGAGCCCATAAGGGAAGGATGGGGAGATGGTTTAAGGGTTTCAGGGTTGTAGGCCACTACGCAGTGCATGGATGCACATACCCTCGCAGCCGTGCATCCGAGCCACCACTTGAAGGTTCATGGGTACTTACCAGGAGGGTTAAGTACCTCAACTAGGGTTATAGCCATACTGACCCCACTTATAGCCCTACTTACAAGTACCCAGAAACCTGCAAGTCGCCCTAAACCCTAAACCCTAAACCCTAAACCCTAAACCCTAAACCCCCTCCCTAAGCACCCAAAGTCAGGTGGGCGTGGCAGGCCTTGCCGGCCTGGC